ACTGACTTTTTGTTTGAATTTCTAGGATATGTTATCATCATTATTTACATTCAGAAGAATAGCCTAGCAGATTATTGCATTGCTTCATGAATTTGGTGGCATAATAATTATTAGTTCTATCCCTGGTGTGTGAGCTGTAGTAAAAAGAACATATTAAGTTATCCCTAGAATGAAAACAATCTACTCTCAGAGATTGAATAAAGGTTTCTGTTTGAAATTCCCTAAAGGTTTCCTAGATGAAGAGACATCTGATGTAGGATTTTTTCCCAGTTGCATGTGTGTGTGTGCACGTGTGCTCTCAGCAGTGCATAAAGTGGAATCAACAATCCCAAGGCTTGAAATAAGTGTTTAACGGCTTTTATTTGTGGTTAAAAGAGAGTGCAGAATCAAGGTATTTTGTGGGGAAATAAAATTGGGTTTCCAAGTTAACAGAGTTCTTCCCTTGAGTAGATGTTTCGTAGAGAGAGATTTCTCCATTTGTTCCCAGGAGGAATGAGAAATCTGAGTGTCAAACTGCTAGGACTGGTTTCATGCCTTCTGCAGCAAGGGTTGTGAATAGTTTTCCTTTGGTAGGTGTCTTGAAGGGAGATTTCTCTGTTTGTTCCCATGATGAATGAGAAATCTGAAGTCAAACTACCAGGACACGTGTCTTTTGTACCAAGGGTTGTGAGTAGTCCTTTGAGCTGGGCCTTGACAATTGCAGCTGCTGAAAAGAAAAAGTGGAAAAGATAGGCCAAATAGGGCTGGGTCAGCATTTTTATAAGTTCTGGGACTTCCGGTTGTTCACTGCTGATTACTTCCATTGCTGCTACAACAAGAATAAGGATATTAGTCTGATATAAATAATTAAAAACCTTGTTTCGATCAGTCAGTTAAGTGCCATATGTGATACACACTTGGGCGATCATGTATCTTTCAATACATGACTGACAAGGCAGATTTTTTCCCCGCAGTAGATTGCCATTTCGTTCTGTCCTGCTATTCAACCCATAGCTGGTGGGAAGTGATGGATTCATACCTTCTCCAAGGGTATTTGTGCCTAAGTGGATCCAACAAACTCGGCTCTCTGAGTTCTCACCCTGAGCCGATATTCATTACACCACAATGCACATCCTTGTTTAGATAACTTTGTATATATGTATGTAAATCAGGTAATCTGGAAACTAAAAATGAAAGAGCATTATTTTGCTCAAATAATCTTTTTCGACATAATCTCCTTCTTTGTTATTGCACTTAATTCAATGTTGAGTATTAATAAAAATAACCAAAATTTGTCTTTGATGTATCAAACTAAATATTTATTAATTCATTCTTGTTCCAATTTGATATCATAACTTTTGTTGTTTTTCTAATGAAGAATTTTTCCTTCCTACAATAATGTTTCCTTTCTAGTGACAAACATGGTTTCCACATGTTCTTCATTTTCTTCTCTGTTTATATGTCACCTTTTTCTGATTCTCTTAATTCTCAAGTGTGGTTCTTAAAACACTGTGTCAGTGTCATTTTATATACTTACTATAAATTCAGGCAATTGTATCATCCAAAGAGCTTTCAGGTTTTAATGTTTATCTGAAATACTAGCAAAGTACTTCTCAAAAAATTGACCAAATTATTCATATACAGGGTGAAACAAATGTCACACACCATAGGGATAATTTATTAAAAGTATAATTACACATGAAAATCTTATTTACCATATTTGATGGCATACAAGGCACACTTTTTTTTACTAAAAATAAAAAAAAATTTAAAATTCCCCTGCATCTTATACCATATGTAGGTTTACTAATTTTTTCTTGGTTTGCACTGCTGATATTGGGGTTTGTCTTATACACTGTCAATTATAGTAATTGTTATATGTGCTGTTCAAAATGTCCTCCTTTTACAAAATACATTTCAATTCTCTGCCTGCCTGATTCATTAACACATCGGAGAATTTCCTCTTTCATTTTACAGCATTCATATTTCATTCTTTCTTTAAGTTCCTCAATATTTCTTGGGTGCATCTTTTAAACAAAATAAGAAAATATCAAAACAAATTAAACATTTAAAACATGATTAATTAATTAACCCCTATAGTGCACAACATTTGCCACACCCTATATATATATATATATATATATAAACACTTCAGCCTAGGATCAAGTTGTTGCTCTACAGTGTTCTGCTTTGGATCAAAGTGTAGTATCTGTTCTTCTTTATAAACTATAAGGAAAACCTGAGCCCAGGGATTTCAACCCCACAGTACCATTGATGTCAGTGTGACAGTGGTTGTCCAAACTGGACAGTTTTTGTCATTGGTCTGTATGTATGACACCCTGCATTAAATCCTACCATCATGGGGATGTGGGTAAATTTGAGAAATCGTATTAAAAGAAAAACTTACACTCTCTAGCAGGATTTGAACCTGCATCTCTCTGGGCAGGAGGAGCTACCATTATACTCGGTATGTTTTGACCACCTCAGTTCCAAAGAAACAATCAGTCAGGCAAGGCCAAAATTGTACTTTGAAGATTTCTCAAACATTCAGGCCAGTAGATGAAAATAAATATGCTGTTTAATAAATAAACAGAGTAAATACGAGTGTCCACTAAAAAATAACATTTATAATGATAAAAAATCTGTCAGATTGATAAAAATCCATTACTTTATTTAGAAAGTTTGCTTTCTTTATGTTTGGATATAAAACTGTAAAGATATTAAAAATTTTAGGAGATCTATGATGAGAGCAGTTTCACTTAAAGGTACAATTTCAGCCTTACTTCATTTGCAGACAAATAATTCAATGTATTTTTCTCTCTGTCTATACAAAAGGTAAGTTTCAATTTGAAAAAATAAACATAGCTAAAAACTTGTGAGAAACAAATTTATATCCATTTATGCAATAAATGATTGATATAAAATATCTGGAGAAAGTACATAAGATGGAATACAGGAAAATCAAATGATGTCTACATTTTTTATGTCCTTGTTGAGGATTCGATCCTTTTGCATCATCAAAACGTAACTAAAAAATTCTGTGTTGTCCTCCTTTATTGTCATATTCACATGGCACAGTGTATAAAAGCATTGATTGAAGTAAGCCAACAGCTTGTTCCAAAGAGTTGTGAGTTCAATACTTGGCCATTGCAGAGGTAAACAAAAACCTGGGGAGTTGAGTTAAACAAAAGGGAAATAACTTAAACTGAGATCTCCAGAAAAGGCTGACATGGAACTACAACAATCTACCCCAGTGGATGAAATAAAGGGCTTGATTTCAAATTCCAACATATATCCTCTGGAGAAGGCCGAAGTGTACAATGGCCGAAACATTGTGAATATGACAATAAAGATGAGTACAACAGCCCAAATAATGTCAATAGTGTAAATATAAATATGGTGATTGGATACTGGAAAATAAAAAAATGTTGAGAAAAATAAAGCATGTATATACCTGTCTACTAGGGCGATTAGCCAATCCATATTGCAGACAATTGCTCAGGCACATTTTGTGTTTATTCAACACCCACAGAGCCCAGCTATGGTTTATGCTGCAACTGTGCTGAGCAGACCTTAGAATTTTGGACAAAAAGCGTGTTATCTAGCATGATCAACAATTTGAACAAGGCCAGTACACTTAAGCCCTCGGTCACAATGACTTGTGACTTCATGCTAGCACAGCTATCCAATTTCACTCACAAGGCTTGGGTCAACCTATGGTATAGTTTTCAGGCACTTTCCAAAGGTGCAGCATGCTGGGATCAACCCCTCCAGTCCGATAACATCAGGTAGTCTCCTTCCCAACAAATCGACTGTAGTGAGATTCGGACCCGGGTCTCATTGTCAGAATGCGAACATTCTAACCACTTGGCCATGTGCCCATATGAAAGCATGATATGTAATACTTATAATTAAAAATGATGAATACTTATAATTAATGATTATATATATAAATATAATTTATGATTATATATTATTTAGGTGTTAAGTGAAGTATAAAATTTAATTAAGATATCTAATCAGTAACATCAGAAGATATAGCACTGTGAAGATGTATTGTCAGAACAGAGTTAAGACAAGAGAGGCAGGAAACGATGCATAACCTATCTGGCGACCTTTAGTAAATAAACGGCATAACAAGGTTTACGAGAGACAACAAAAAGACAAAATTTATTAAGAGCTACAAAGGACAGGAAATTGTGGAGGACCATGATCGCCAACACCCTAAAGAGACATAGAAGAAGAAAGGAGTCTATTTTAAAGAGAATCTTTAAGCAAATTTGTGCTTGTCTTTTGCAGGAAGAGAATGACAAATTACTTTCCTTTCTTTGCTTCTGCAATCATTAAATTCACTTATCTGTGTACAGGTGTAGGTGACACGATTATTTAACTTTCTCTAAAAACCTGTATATTTTTACAACTCTGTCAGTTTAGTGCTCTACTGTGAGAAAATGCAAACATCTTTATATTCCAATCAGTTTTTCTTTACTAGTAATGAGAAGAAACCAAATTCACAAAAGTAGTATCCCAACATTGCCAGTTTCCTACTAATCAAATGGTAAACATAGAATCTGTTGTTGACTGTTACTACCTGCATCTAATGTTGTCTGAAACTCCTAGATAGATTCTTATCAATCCCTTGAGCTTTTTCTCCTGACTGGTTCTTCTATTGGTGACTGCACCACACACCCCCAATCATCACATTTATTCTTTTACGAGTATCCTATTTATTAAACCCAAGAATAATGGTAAATTATCCCATATATTTTCTTTGAACTTCTGAGATATTACATTGTTACTATTCATTGATTTTTCAAGCTACCATTCTCATTTTATTTTAAGTTTTATTATTGAAGGCTAATGATTATAATTCCTGGTTATCCTAAGTTCAAGTTTAATGATTTAATAAGCAAAATATTATTTTTATCTATCTATCTATCTATCTATCTATCTGTTGATTGTTTTTGTGCAAAGAAAAAAGAATTGTATATCAAAACCATGTTCTTATTTTGTTTTGATAGGCAAAATACCATTTTTTGGTTCTTCCAAAAGAAAAGATTCCTAACATGAAGAGTGTCAACAAAGATCATATTCAGTTGTTGAAACATATGCATGACAAAGGAACAGAAATTGCTGAAAAGTAAGAATGTCTTTTGTTTTTAATTATTTTTTCCAACTTTTGACCTCTCATTTGGTAAATATGATGTAAGCATTTCAATTATTAAATTCTTTAATGTTTCCATTATTTGATTACCAGAGATAAATATCTTCATTTTACAATGTGCAGCCAAAATCAAACTTTTTTCTTTTTTTATCAAACAGTCCATTTGTTTTTTGCAATGGTTAAAATGAGATATTTAAAAAAAAATCTTATTAAAAATTAAAAAAAAAGAATCCATATTTACACTATTTATATTCAGACTATTATCCTCATCTTTGTTGTTATATAGTCCAAATATAAATAGTGTAAATAATGATAAATAAAATCTTGAAGACAAAATTATAATTTTTCTCATCAATATTCTTGACAAACAAGAAACAATGTCATGAACTTTAATAAAAATGAAAGCTAAAACTGATATTATTCTATTTCATACAATTTTATTAAAATGTATTTCAAATCTGGAATGTGTGTAACATGATGGACATTGTCACAGAAAGTAGAACTGGCAAGCTGAGTTAAAATTCTGGGATTCTGTTGCATTCATTTTCACACTAATACTCTTGGGAAAGGTATGAATTCATTTCTTTGCCTCTAGTTGTTATGGGTTAAATAACATACACCAGGCTTCTATAATCTTGATTGGCAACCAGCCTGAGGAGGAAAACTCTGAATTCCTAACTGTGAAGAAGGCAGCAAAAAACCATTCCCCTATTTTTCTCAAGCATGCATGGCAATTTACAGATAATTAAAATGTAGAGGATCATGATCATCTACATCCTGAAAAGACATGACAATTTAAACTAAGAAAAAATTCAAATCTGACACATTGAGGAAAAAGGGCTTGGAAAATTTGATACTCACAGGACAGATTGAAGGCAAGAGGGACAGAGGAAAACAATGCATAATCTACCTAGTGAACTTGAATAAATGGATGGTGGGACAAGGTTTAGGAGAGATAACAAAAAAGCAAAATTTATTAAGAACTACAGAGAACCATGATTGTCAGTGTCACAAAGATCACATTAGCAGTTTTTTTCTTCTATATACAGTGTCCCTTCTGGACGATGGCAATCATGGCCCTCCACAACTTCCTATTTTTTGTTGCCCTTAGTAAGGTTTGTGTTTTCACTATCCCTCCCAATCACTCTTCTGCTATGCATTTGTACAAGCTTGCTAGGTAAATTATATGCTGTTTCTTTCTCATGCCTTCAATGTCCTGTGAGTGTCAAATTCTCCAAGCCCTCTCTCCTCATTATGTATTTTAGAAATTTAAAATGTCTCTTCCTGATTCTAAATATGTGTCCTTTTTGTTTGTATTTTCTTTAAAACTTCCTTTATACTCACATGTTCAGTCCATGGTATTCTCAGTATCCTTCTGTAGAACCATATTTCTGTTGCCTCAAGTAACACTACTAAAGTGAATAAAAAAAGATGTTGGCATATCAGTCAGCTAGGAAAGATAAACTACATGGTTATACTTGAATGACTACAGGCTGGTGGCCTCTGTAGCCAAGTCAGTAAAACAGAACATGTTCAGTAGGGCAGGTTGATTTTGGAGCCATGCTATTGCACTCAATTTGAAAGTTGGGGTTTGACATGATAAATAAAGACACAAAATATTCTTTTCCAAATCATTGCCATTTTTTGAGGAAACTAGTTTAAATATTAAGTTTAGGTTCAAAATCATAGCATTGAAATTTAATTCCAGTGATCAGTGAAAGCCTTATGGCACAACCTTATAAAATTTATAATTACTGACACTTTACAAATTGTATATGGACAATATTAGAAAATAATTGTACCATCAAATAAGACCTTCATTTACTCCAAAGGGAAATTATACTGAACAATTTAGCTATATTATGATGTAATATGTTATACAGTTCAGTAGTTTTAGTGTGATTTTCAATAAACAATGAAAATTTAAAACATTTTGTCTTATAATTTGTGCCCAGCATTATTATGTACACTTTTATCTATTCTTTTTGTTTTTATTAGTTATGATCTAACAAATCTTATTCATTTAGGAGTCTTTTTTGTAATCTTTTACGATTTTTTTTTACTTTTTACTTGCTGAATACAGTAAAAAATTGCATATTTTACTTGTGGTGATTCATAATTAAAATTCTGGTTTGAATACATTTTCAATTCAATGAATCTAACACAAAAGATATCAACTTCATTTGGATTTATTCGTGAAATGGTAAAATTTTGAAGTCAGTTTGTAAGCAAAAACCTATGGAAATTAGATAATTCTGCACATTTCAAGACCATCTGAAAAAATGTACAGAAATATCTAAATACTCAAAAATTGATAATAGCTATGTATCTAATTTTAGATGTCAGTACTTATCACATCAAACCCCAGCTTTCACAAAATTAAAAATTAACCTGCCCTAATGTTCAGACAGAAGGGATATGAGTTGAAGTCACACCAAAGACTTATTCTTTATATCCAGTCTGTAGTCTTTATTAACAGCCATAAAATGACAGTCTAAGATAATTTTGTCTGTATTTTTAGGATGGGCAGTCATCATTATATACAGGCAAACTATTGTCCTTGTCTTTTTATCACAACATTCAGCCATTGTACCATCTGACCTTCATTAGGTGCCTGTAGGTCCAAGTAATCTTTAAGGAATTTCAAACTGAACCATTTATTTAATCTATTGAAGTAGACTGTTCTCATTCCACTACCCATGTCTAGGGATATCTTGTCTAGTTCTTATTTTATTAGATTTAAAAGGTGATCTATTTATTTTTTTGTTTAAAAATCAAATAAGATAATTAGACCTTGACCATAACATTTGCCTTTTAATTTTTTTAGTTTCTTCAAAACTTGATTTTTTTTAAATATAAAAAACAAAAAAATTGATTGTTTTCTACATTTATTTAGTGTACTAAGTAGTAATCAGACTCGAGAAATCTGAAACATTGGAACTTTTGGGGGTATTAGAATCAGCATTGGAATTGGAGAATTTTTAACTTAATTTCTGATTCCATAAATGATTCTTTGTATTTTTTTTATTTTTTTTGTTTCTGTTTAAAAATTAATTTTCCATTCCTGGTACTAAAGATAAAAAGATATAAATATTTATTGACTTTAAACTATCAGTAAAACTAAAATCTATAGATCATAATAACTGCTATGTATGATGTAAATTTATTTTACTTGTGTTAAAAATATAAAATGAAATGTGGAAGTTTCAGAAGCATAAAGCTCTCTAAAATTTGGGACTTTCTAATATAAAAGAATGTTCTTTCCAGCTACAGTGACAAAATAATTCTCAGATTTGAAGAAATGGGGTCAGGATGAGAACTTTTAAGTGCCCCTTACCCATTTATAAAAATGAGTTCAATGATCATTAACCTTTTTTGTTTACCTACAGCCCTACCATTATTCAATATCACAATTATTTTAAATGAACAATAATTGGAAAAAACAAAATATTTCATTGTGATGAGGCTTCATTCATGAAACAAGAAAAATGTACTTTTTAAATCAATTAATTACCATTCACATTAATTTATCTTTATTCCCTGAAACTTTGATGATCCAAATGATTTGTGATTGTTGATTCATTTCATTGATAATCTATTTATCTTAAATCCCCAAATAATATTTAATGTGTAATGTGTGTAAACTAAATTCCTCTAATTTTTTTTTCTTTTAGGTCTGACAGTAATTTACAGTTTAGGTATGGCTATCATGCTATCCCAAGTATGGGGTAAGTGTTTGTATTCTTATTTAATTTTCTGCAAAATATTTGTCCAATCTTGAAAACATGAAATTATTGATTATTTATTCAAATTATTTCTGCTCAATCTATATGCACTTATTCCACTTTGGTTATCAGTCGTTAATTTAATTCCTAAAGAATTCTACATTCAAAGAATAGATAAATTAATTGAAGATTTCTTCAATATCATTCTGATTGAAGAAGTTCTTGCCTGTAAAGAAATGAACTACATGCTCTAAAAAAAATAAATATTTTGCAAAAAGTTTTGGTGAGTCAACAAAGTGCAATAAAGTCTCTATAAATTTTTCTATTGGCTAACATCCTGATCAGTTATTATAAATTAGTGATTCTTGATTGACTTAACACAATACAATGAATGTTAAACATAGTTTGTTGCTGAGATGCATGCTATTGTAGAATCTAAGATGGCAAGGTTAGCCAGGTGAGAAGGTATGATGTTGGAAAACCTAAAGTTATCAATATACCCAATATTAACATTATTGATAACACACTCCAGTGCATCTTTGCAATTTTTGTTGAGATTTTATATACATTTACAGCCTCCGGCTATGGATTAAATAGTAGAACTTGTATTTGTAATTGTTATCTCCAAAATATTGTTAATGCAATATTCCTCATAAAAAAATATTCCTACAACAATCCAAGTTCAGCTTTAAATAACTCACAAAAGATTTATAAGTTGTAAAAAGAAATAAGTCAATCAATCAACACATTTACAGTATGAGTCAAAAATAAGGTTTGCTCTGAATTTTTACCATTGCATCTAATTTCCTTCCTTATTTTCAAAAGTAATGTGAAATTCATTAATTCTCTTGAACTGTAATTTTTTTATCTGATTTCTCAATCAATTCATTTGTTAAAGATGACAATGATGATAGTTTAAACTAACATTAAAAATTATGAAAACTTTTCGCTACTGACTTGACTGTTTTTCTCTCATTCCTCTTGTTTATATCCTGCAAAAAGTAAATTCCTACTTTTGCAGATATTTTTCATTTACCAGTTTTCAATAGTGTAATATTATGCTAGAATTTCGCATCAGACCATCAAAGAAAGCCATGTGCAAAGTTTACCTGAGATTACCAGGGTGGAGATCCATGATTTAGTGGTGTTACCGCCCCTGCCTAATCACAAACGGTGCAATTTTTGAAAGGTTCTTTCTCTTTTCTCGTTTGACATTGGTGTATCAATATTTTTTTCTCTCTTTCATAAAACTCATAGCATTGTAAGTACTTCAGAGACATCAACTGAAAATAGTTTTGAACTATCAATAACTTCTTCTGCAAACATTTTTGGTTAATACATTTATTAATTTTTGTTTGTTTAAATTCCATGACTTGTGTTTTTCTTTTTTATTTGCCTGGACTCACATGAGTGCAAAATATTGTTTGCAAGACAAATGCTAACAGGAGTCATAAAAATGATAATTCTTTCCATTCTGCAACAGTGGTAACCTTGAGAGGTGAATACCTGTGGCCAAGGCTGCACCTGATACATGTGTACTTGCAAAAAAGAAACATTGGATATGATGATATATTAAAAAATGTGCCAGAGAAGAGGGGGCAGTTTCTCATACATTGCAGACAGAGAATGTAAGGTCCATATATCAGAGAAGGGCTCTCTGGGATCCATATAACATATATTAGTCAGGAGTAACTATTAATGTCAAGGGTTGAATAAGAAGTAATATTAATATGAAAGTTTTCAATCTTATGTTATTCATTAGTCAGCATGTTTCTTCATTAATCGGTACATTTGTCTTCATTACAAGCCTTTGATGAATTATATCATCTTGCAAATGTTTACCCTACTTATGACTATGTACAGAAGAAAATGGTGACATACACCAAAATGCTTTTGTGTCACATGTAGCTTTTGGAGAAAAAAGAAAAATGCCTGTCCACTAAATAAGGTCTGAAAGCTCATGTTCCACAAATAGCAAACCATAAAGGGTCCAAGAAACTGCTTTTCCTGCCAAGGAAGATTTTGCAAGGAGGCTACATGTGTATTTACATGGAGATTTGGATTTTGTGAACTTTTATTATACAAGCTATTTTGGCAGACCAGTCGTTTGACCTGAAACTGATTCCTGAATTTGATGGTACAGCTACAAGTCCACCTATACTTGAATGGCTCAAAAACACAGAGCTTGTTTGCAGAATGTGCAGGATAAAACTTGGAACACATTTTCCCACTGAATTTGAGCAATGAAGTCTTTGCCATGTCTCAACAGTTTAGCGAGGAAGAAAAGCTGCAGAAATAAAGAAAGCACTACAAATTGCTTTTTGCAACAGACAAATTCATAGCTTACAAACAGTTTATGGCTTGTCATCTATGCTCTGGAGAGTCTGTTGATGTATATCTTGTGAACTTACAAAAGCTTGCTTCACTGTTTAGAGGAATATCAGAACAGGGTTGACGTGCTTTTGTAGCTGGAAATCATGTGAAAGAAACACTGCCAACATCTTCGAGGATGGACAAGATGAATGTAAGCCAACTACTAGCTATGGCCCGTGTGGTTATGAAAGATGAAATGACAACTGAAGAACCAGTCATGGCAGCCACTCTTCGAATTGAAACAGATGTTCCTATGCCTTTTACTAACTGTCCTACCAACATCAGCTATTACAGATGGTCTGGACTTGGACCATTATGCCAAGGATTTCCACTATGGACATGCAGGAAAGTGATCTGTCTATCAAAAGCCCACCAACAAGTATGGTGTTTTTAATACCAAGGAATCGATCATATTGTTGCCAGGTAGATAATTTTGGCTGATTATCGCAAATTTTAAACCTACATATGGCCCACCAGAACTTCTCACAGACAAAACTGACCTTACTTTTCTGCCACTGTCTGGGGATTCTCTCATGATAAGAGACAGACTTCAGTCAAGAAATTGAATTAACTCTAAAAAAAAATTGTGTTAAATTTGTTTTAACAATAACAATTTTGTATTTTTTATTTTCTTTGATTTCACTTTTTTCTATTACAGGCAACTTCATCTTCATGTCATCAGTCAGGATTTCAACAGTCCATGTCTGAAAACCAAAAAACATTGGAACTCTTTTGTAACTGAATACTTTATTGATTCTACTGGTAAGTATTCATGAATATACAGATGATAAATTTAGAATAGTCTGACAAAACATCAAAAAGTGTGTGTGTGCATGTGTATTTAAAAGTGAAATTGTTAGAAAAGTCTGTACAAAAACTTGCTGTATAGAGAAAATAAGATTTGGAAAAACACCTGATGTTTATATGTATCTATATGCAATATTTATAATACATGTATATTTACATAGAAATATTAAAATTGCTTTACTTACATGTGGGTTTTCAGGAAAAATTGTTTTACTTAAAAACAATTTTTTCTGAAAACCCACATGTAAGTAAAGCAATTTTAATATTTCTATGTATACATGTATTATAAATATTGCATGTAAACATTAGTGTGTTTTTCCAATATATATATATATATATATATATATATATATATATATATATATATATATATGAATGAAAAATATAGTTTTAAGGTGTTCTATATTCATGGGATAAAGTGCTCAATATCAGAGATAGAGCATATGTAAATATAAATTTAAAAGTGAACATTGAAGACAACACTCAGAGGCAATGGGCTGTTTCATGCTCATGATTGCATCTAGCATGAAATAGCCTGTCGCCTCTAAGTGTTGACTTCAATGTTCACTTTTAAATTTACACACACTCTATCTCTGATATTGAGCACTTTATCCCATAAATATAGAACACCTTAAGAATATATTTCTTCATATATATATATATATAATACTCACACACAGACATTCACTCACTCATATAATGTCTGTTTGTTTTCCCAATACAAATTGATGTGGCTTACTCTACAAATATCAAAATAGGTCCATTAGAAGACTAACTTTTCTTCTAGAATGTCTTGAAAATATTGGATATTATTTTTGAGGATGCAGGGAAACAATACAAAAACTGGTGAAAATTATGGTAGTCATCAAAAACAGATGAATGCCCTATAAAAGATCAATTTCATAATTGAAATCAAAGAGAATTCCATTAACTGGAACTCTTATGTGTTTCCAGGCCTGACTATTGCTGTGTCCATTAAAATGAATGAATAAAAATTAATTATACTGTCACAAATAATTATAATAAAATAATTATGACAATTATCATTAACATGATTCACCCTTTCTAAACCAATGAGAATCAACGTCATTCGTCTCTTCTACTAACACACAAATGGATAACACCCTCACTATCAGATGAGCAGTGAACAAATGTTAACTCCTTTCCTTTCCAGACCGCAATAACATTTGTCCCTTCTTAACACTCATAACCAAAATTCAACATAAAGATCCAGACTTCTTTTATTTTTTCTTTAACTAAATTATCTGGACACTCACTAGACATATTATATAAAAAAAAACATACAAAAAAGACTATATTCAATTTACTCAGTTTTACTGACTCCTGTGTCTTTAACACAACAACAACTTTCAATCAGATAATAAATAATATTTTTTTTGTTGTTTCCATGTCTTGCAGTTTCTCATTTTCTACAAATATTTTTGTGTATATAAATGTTAGGGGTTTATAGTTAATTATCCAAACTTATAACTTCCTTATACTACTTTGATCTTAAGCTAACTAGAAATCACAATGTAAAAACTGACACCAAAATATGTTATATACAGTCATGAAGTGTACTATGATTTTAACATAAATACACCTCAAAATCAAAGACTATTGTTAAAAATTGTAAACCAATCACTATAACAAAATATATGCAAGAAAAATTAATCCTGGCAATATTCTGAAAATATTAGTTAAATCTGAGCTCAAAAGGATTTTCATGGTTTATTTAAAGAAAATGTATTAAACTATCTACATAAGTAGTATATATATATATATATATATATATATATGGTATATAGTAGTCATCTACTTTCAAAGTAAAGATTAAAATGGTATATGGTAGTCATCTACTTTCAAAGCAAAGATCAAAAGGGAGTTGGGATTTTTGGTGGATAAGTAATCATAATATTGTAATCAAGCTTAAAGAATATAAGGAAGCAATATTAATAAAATTTTAGGATTTAATCAAGTAAAAATCAAAATTAAAACAATATTTATCATCAAATATTGGCAAAAGACTAATGAAAATTCACGTTAAACTTACTACATACTTCCAGGCCCTATAAATGACTAAAGCCTCTTTAACAACTTTAAAAACATATACAATGATTCATGGGTGTTGTAACTGAGTTATCAAAAACAACAGTAGAAAACTGAAATTGGTTTTAAAATTTTTGTACAGGGAAACATAATGTAGAATAGAAACTCGGGAAGAGAATGTTTAGCTGTAAATGACTGTTTTTGCAAAGGCTACTGCTGCTCCTGCTACTCCTCTTGATGTAGGAGTATTTTTATATCTTTTGTCCGACACCCAAGTCCAAACTTGTAGGGAAATATTCTCCCTCACAATGGGCCATTTGAACTTTGAAATTCAACATTACTGACCATAAAAATTTGGAAAATATGTGAAAAAGTATCCCAAGCAAATAAGTGACCTGGAATAATGAAGATGAAAACCTTGGCTGTCCATTTTCAGCAAAAATCAAATTCTAATATATTATGAATGTCTTACTTTTACAGAGAAGATTATTTTTTGTCACAATGACCCTGAGGCTTTTTCAGTTATTTTTAATCAAGTGGTTACCAAATTGAGTGTTTAGTTTTGGGGCAATAACAGTTATTCTGCCATTAAAATCATAAATTTTTACTTTATTAAAAACAAATTGTTATGATATTAAAAATAAAATAAAACATGATATTTTTTTTTTTGTTTTGCCTTTCAATTTTGTTTGAGCAAATTTTTCTACTTCAAGAAAATGATTTTCACATTCAGTTGTACATCTTAATCCTATTTTTCCTCATGTTTATATTGACCAATGGTAGTTTCTTCTTAAGATCATTGATTCTTGTTGAAGAACATCAAAATGACAATTATTAGTAGTTTTCTCTCTTGTTCTCCTCTGAGGAATTAACCAGAATTACAAAAATGTCCAAGAAATGAATGAAGTCTTGAAGGAGATTTTGCTTTGGATTGAAATGAAAAAAAAAGGCAATGAGTTAAAAGATCAGAATAAATAAGAATTATACTAATAAGAATTAAAAATCAGTAAAAAGTACAATAATAATTATTAGAATAGAATAATTAAAGAAAGTTAAGGCATCTAATATTGAGACAAATTTTGGATGAGTGTGACCTTTTCATTTACTTCAAAAATTGAACTTTTAAAAAACCACTTTCAAAAGGAAAACAACTGAAAAGTTAGAAAAATATAAAAACATTTGAGAGATTTTTTGATATTTAGTTTGCAATAAATAAGTTTCGTTTAAAACAAAAGAAACATCATTTTGTTTTCATTTTGATGTGGCTGAAATGCAGATCAACTGGAAATTTGTAATTCATTTCAATAAAATAAAAATCTTTCTCTTAGTTTTATTTGGTTTGAATAGTTTTTTTTTTTTTTTTTAAACTGAATCTAAATTTTCAATTATCATATTTTTGAGACATTTTCTTTCCTCGGGCTGGAAAAACTGTCTTTAGATTTTGGAAGTGACAAACAGAAATGATGTTGTCAGTTTTGATTGTGAAATTGCAGGTATTTTTTTTTTTTAATGTAATTTTCACTTATGGCCAAAGGAAACAATTCTGTCAGTCAGTTTGAAATTGGTTTTATTCATAAGAAAGATATTTTGAAAAAGCAAAAAATATATTAATCTGTCAAGCAGCACTATCAAACAATACTCATAAAAATGAGAAACAGCAAGATGTGGAAACAACAAAACAAATATTATTTATTATCTGGTTGTTATGTGGTGTTGCAGAAACAAGAGACAGTAATACTGAGTAAAATTGTGATTTGGGGGTCAAATGAAGATCAAATATGGATCAGAACCCAAGAGATAAAGAATAAGGTAAATGTATACAGTTTTTCTCATGTGTTTTTTTTAAATGTTACAATTATGCCCTGAAAAGTAGATGAAATTTTTGTTGATGCACAAGTTAATGGCCTGTTCATATGAACTGCTTGTCCAATACTGAGAATGTAATGTGTTTGTGTGTGTAGAGGAGAAAAGTGGTACCAATTCTCATTCATTTAGAATGAGTGAATTAATGATAATTATAATTGTTATAATTATTTTATTATAATTGTTTTTGACACTATAATTAATTTTCTATTTCTTAAGGACCTGACATTTTTATAAATTTGAATAAATAATTTTTGCACTGAAAGTAAATAATAATTTTGTATCTGTAGATTTCTTTGTTTATTGATTCAGCCAAATGCAGACCGAAAATATTCCAGAAAACTCACAAAAATCAAGCCTTGAATTTGTTACAAATACAGCACGGTGCTGAACCCTCACAAATGAAGTTATGTGTAGGCATTTCCTAATGTCTCCATTTCACAGATTTTTACTCTCTCCCTCTCTCTCATTTTTTACCTCTTCATTTATGTACAAATACCCTAAGAAATCCATCTCCTCCCCCCAGGTGTGGGCTATATAGTAGGACTTATACCTAAAAAAAAAAAATCATTGTTATTCTCAAAAATTGTTAATACAATATTCACTCACAGAAAAAGAATTATACAATCCAAAATATGTTTCAGCTCTCAACTTTAAATAATCCACTAAGGGTTGATAAACTGTAAAAATACAATCATAATTGTTCATTTCAAATCAACTTTGTTTACTACTTGTGTTCTGTGAACCTTTTGTGTTATTCTCTGAACTGTAAAATGAAACCTCTTTAAAAAAGAAGAAAATACATCATCCTTTATTAAATAAGTACCAGAAATTTGAATAATATGCAATAATTAGTTAATTTTTAATAGTTTTAAAATTAAATTGATTTTTTTTTAATTACCATGAATTTTTTTTTTTTTTCAAAATAAAAATTTGACACACTATCACTTTTTGCAAATATTTCTGGTTCTCTAAAGTATACACTTTCTCTTTTAAAACAATCAAATTTAATGATGAAATATATAAAAAGAAAATTATTATTA